TAATTTAATAAAATAAAATAAAATTTCAAAAATAATAAAAAATTAATGATATTTTGACAATCAAACTCCAAAGTACCCACCTTTTAATTATATATAAAGAGACAAAACTTAATTTATCTTAAATTTTATTTTACTTAATTATTTATTAAAAAATTTTTTTTATAAACTCTTTTAAATTTATACCTTCATGATTTGAGATTTCAAATATTTACAAATTATTCAACAATATGAGCAGATTTGACTCAATTCATTCCACTCATCCAATTTTACGCGATGTCTTTTCAACTCATGGAAGTTTGATTCTTTCCGAGTATTGTCAAGTTTTGGAGTTGTTGGCTGATAGGGTAGAAAAACGAATAGAATGACACAGGATTGCAAAAGCAAACTCCTAAACTGTAAATAACAGAACACCATCCATTCCACTCCTCTATGAATATATGTAATTAGCATTGATTGATTTTTTACTTCCCATATCCCTTATTATTATCTTACTAATAATAAATTTATTGAGATTTATGGTACCTCTAGTTAATCATTCAACTTTTTGAGAATCCATTTTATAATTTTTTTAATGGGCGAAACAAAAACTCAATGATTTTTTTCTTTCTTTCTTAATAGGTATAACTTGCAAGTATATTTCAAGCACATATCAATTAGTTAACAAATCAAAACTTCAAATAAATTAGTAACTCTACCTAATTAATCATAAATTACAAGACAATGAACATTGGGACCAACTTTAACTCAATTAACAATTTCAGTACGGTTGGGAATAGGCTCAACATTCAGCCTGGGCTGTATATAATAGGTCTAGTCATTCATACCTGGGTCCCAAAATGAAGATATATCCATATAGCAGCCCAGATACAGTCCAGACACACCCATGTGGGTGCTCATACATGGGCTAATCAAATGCTTACATATATGGATTCATGTCAACATTGAAGGGCTATAAATACCCCCACCTACATCCATTCAAGGTATTAACTTCACTACGCTTCTCTCTCTGTGATTACTCTTGAGAGCTTCTCTTTCTAGAATATCGAGTATTACTGATTTAAGCATTGGAGTGTTTTCCAAAAGGAAACATTTTCGAGATTTTCAAATGTTGAAGTAGCTGAAGATTTCTATAGTATAGGTTCGTGAAGTTGCCCAAACAAGTACCTAACAAGTTTGAAGGGAAAATAATAGTATCCTCTAGAGTAAAAGTAAGCATAGATGAAGCTTCCGTTTTGTTCCAGTTATTGTAGATCTTGAGCAATGGTAAATATCTAATGGCTGTGATAATCTGGTAGAGTAGCTTTTTAAATCAAAATTTTATTTGCACTTGGGCCTTTGGACCAGTAATGTTAAGTTACATATAAGTGTATTTTTTCTCCTCAGGGCAACGGTTCGAATCCAGTCCTTTACGAATTTGTTTAAAAAAAAATCAAAATTTTATCTGATTTATTTAATTTCAGGGTTTAATAATTGCCAACTAACAACCCTACAAAGGATTAACATTTTATTGCACTTGAAACTGTTTTTTTTTTTTGCAATTGTTTTCTTCCATACAGCCTTTTTTGCTACATGCATGTTATACACAGGTGAATTTGAAACTTTCTTCCATATTCATGATTGGAAATGCCTTTTATTTTACCAAATTTCCTTGCAAAATTATTCTCTTTAGTCCTAATTGCTTAACTTTTATGGATAAGGCTTCATTTGTCAATTCTGTAATATTCTGCATAGAAGTAGGTTTTTTTAGTCTTTTATAATTTTAAAAAATAAAATATTAATTAAAATTATTCAAAATTATAAATTATATATTTTAAAAAAAGTGCCCTATGAAAAAAGCCTATGCAAAATTTGATTATAGGTTTATTATTCTACAGGTATCTATCAAAAAAGGTCAAGTGGTCAGGTTTGGTTTAGAAGGTTTCTATTGAAATCAAGCTTGATTATAGGTTTAAAGAAGACAACAAACTGATCATGTACGAGATAAAGTGCTAACTATTTTCAAAAAAGAGATGAAGTTTTAGTTGTATGTTGGATTTATTTTGTTATATATGCTATATTTAGAAAAAAAAAAAATTGTTCAAGATAAAGTGGTACTGGTAAGGTTTGAACCATCAAAAAAGTCTTTTTCTATTTCAGATAACAGATTGTGAAAGTATTTAAGTATTCTTAATAATTATTTTTTTATTAAAAATATTTTAATATATTTATAACTAAGATTGCACTTCCTTATACAATTTGGGCTGGAAAAAAAATCTCTTAAATCATTTTAATTAATAATTAATAAATATCCCAGTTACTTTACCACAACAACAAATTGATCATGGAAGGCGCCTTTATGTCATATCAACTATCAAGGGGCAAAAGTTTTTATTAATCTTAAGCAGGTGTCCAAGTAAAAAGTGGGAACAAAAATGTTTTCCACGGGAAAAATGTAAACCTTTGCCAGTGGGTTCAAACAAGTTAATTTGAAGAGTTTTAATATTCAAAAAAGAAAAGTTCGAAAAGTTTTAAGAATTTCTTACTCTAAAATCTTTAAAACCGTATGATGTGTGCATACAAATGAAATTTTAGGCCTTTTCTAGGAACGTTCCTACATATATTTTTCACATAACATCTTATTTTTAAAATATATATTTATTATTTTTAATTAATATTTTATAAATTTTATTAATTTCAATTAATACTTTATGTTTTTGAGATAACAAAGATAAAAAAACCTACTATTACAACATAATCTAGCACTCCCAAATAAAACCTTGGTTAAACTATAAAAAAGGGGATAAATTTAAGAAATTTGCTTACGAAATTAGAATTAACTAAACCTAAATATACGTAATTTTGTACTAAACTAATGGATGAATGATTATATGTTTCTTTTATTTTTTTTTAAAAATATATATTTCTTTTTTTAATATTGTAAAAAAATTAAATATCAAGAGTTAAATATGAGTTTTTATATAAAAACTTATCAAATTTAAATTTTTTTTTTATGATTTAACCAAGAAATATCCATTAATAACAATCAAACATGCAATAAATTCTTCAAAATTCTCTATTCTTTTTTTGGTAGTTCGATTGGTCAGGCTTATTGGTTGTTTTGCACTTTTCATTCCCAATTTCTCCAAAGCCAAAATCAATTGAATTTAGCTTCTAGAAGTAAATTCAAAATTGTCCAACCATAAAAATTTCTCCTGTTTCTCCCTTAATGTGCCAGTGCTACCTCCTAAATCCTTGATATCTTCTTTTGATTTACTCATTCCCTAAAAAATTACGACAGCCACTGACTAATCTTCTTTTACAAATAATCCTAGAACCCACTATTGATATGCATTTTGTTACCTAAAGAACAAACAAACAAACAAACCAAGATGCCAATTTCAGTTTAATATTAATAACCAGCGGAGTCCAAGTAAATGCAAGATTAGAGAGAAGGGTAAAGTAAAACCGACCTGTCGAATCGGTTTTTAATCTTAATAGTTGGACCTTAAACTTTTAAAATATTTAAGTAAAGTGATCAGATTTCAAAATCTACCACCGTTTTAAAAACTCCTTTTTCTCATCTCCAAATTATTCAGTTTTTCTGTCCAGACTTGGTTCACAGTAACTGTACAACAACAGTTGATGGATAGCAAACAGGAAAAGTAAAAGCTGAGTTGCTTCCTGTGTGTCGTATTCAATAAAGTTCTACATCCGGAGGTCCCACCCTTAGCAGATGGCGGACCAATTTGTCTTTGCAGACGTACTGCATTGAATTCGGTACCAATTTGTCTTTGCAGACGTACTGCAT